AAAAAATCAAAATCCATTCGTTTATAACCTTTTTATTGCAAGTAAACCTCTTAATCACATTGTCAGTCTTTACTTTATCATTTGGTATTATTTATTTACTTTGGGCAATGAAACTTTAGATATAGGTAGTTAATATAATAGTTTCATAAGAAATAAACATAAATAAACTCTTTAAAGAAACAAAAACTAAACTAGAAACAAAATTAGAAACTTTTATCCAACTTAACATATTTTTTACGTTTAGATAATCATCATCTGTAATAAACAAAATAATGTAATACTTATTGAAACAAAAACTAATTATTCTTCCACAATAAACTTTAAATATACTCTAAATAATTCAAACTAAAAATATTTGATGAGTTCGTATCCACTCGGCAAATCTCGGAACAAAATAGACCCTGCGTTCCGATACGCGCTGAAAACGGCGACAAGTATTGGCTAGTCTGATTCGAAATGCGCCTATAACGGAACGTACCTCGTTCAGTACGAGACTGCCACCAAACCATACAAATGGCGCCAAATTTGAACACAAACTGAATATTCGCATCCGCATTCGCATTCGCGAATGTCGATATCAGATATTCGCATTCGCATTCGCATTCGCGAATGTTCAAAAACACACATTCGTTACATCACTAGTACACACTATAGATGCATTAAATTGATTTGAATTTGAATGTGATTTTCAAACGAGCTTTAGTAGGCCTAAAAGAGAAAAACAATTTTGAATGAATTTAAAAGCTGTCTGTTCAGTTTTTGTAAAATTTGATCTTCCATTTTTCAGGAAATGTACAGCGGGATGCATTTGCCTTCACTTCAAATAACGGTGAGTTTCAGTAATTATTTATTTTTCTTCACATGTAAATAGAATCTTATTAGTAAAGCCTGAAGTTCAAAATTCTACTTGCATCAATTATCAATAATACTTCCGAAATAAATATCTAAGCATGATGTTGGCACTCGTGCGCAGGCCTGTTCGTAGGCCTGCGCCGGCGCATGACACCACAATGAAACCTTTCACCCGCCGCTACCTGCTCGCTATGCTGTAATCTACATCTTTTCATACATTTCCTTGTTCTCTGTAGATATAGAACTGTTCTAGATTAGTATTGGACTGTAATTCTATTTTGGTAGTCTGTCTAGATATCTTTCAGTGTGTTGTAACTGGGTATAGGATAGTTTTAGTTGTAAATATGGTCCTGGTTAAGACAATTTTGGCTTATGTCACTGTACACTGTAACACCCACATTTTACTATTTATGTTATGAGTCCCATGTAATAGGTAGTGAGCCTATTTCTATATACCGGGCACATTTCCAGACTCCGCGTTACTACAGAAAAACCAAGTTATACTTTGCCCGAGCCAGGTATCGAACCGGAGACTCCTTGCCCGGCAGTCGACTTGCGACCACTTGGCCAGTGAGGCAGTTTTTTCCCATAATATCAAAATACATTTTAAAAATTTGCAACTTCCGAACGAAAAAGTGGGACATTACAACAAAACTAAGAGGAGGAACAGTAGCCTAAATGTGTATTTTTTTATTTTATTTAATTCGTTGTAAACGTGTTAACAAGAAGCTGTTTGGTATAATTACCGGTAATCAGGCGGTCGCATCTCGTGCGGGACATTGTTCCGACCGGGTACCTTTCAACCGGTCTCGCTATAGCTATTTATTGGAAAACCTTTTTTATATAACGCTTTATGTACAGTGCTCTGATGAGTTCAGTTGATTTATATGTCTGTGTGTAAAGCACATTGCAGGTAAGGCAAAAAAATCTAAGGTTATAACGACCCACAAAATTTACCACGTGGAGTAAGTCCACAGTAATTGTCAATTTAAGAAATTAATCATGAATGATTGATTTAATTTATGTATGGCAGGCTCTGCCCCGATTATTGCATATAAAAAAAGTATTGCCTACTCTTTCTTGATCATTCACGAAATGAAAAACGTGGTGGTATAATATTTGTGATAATGCAAGATGACTTTTTACAAATTAACTTTTATAATTATGAACAATATTATTAATCTCTGTGATACTTTAATCACTCCACCACCAGTGACTTGTACGTACCCTCAACCTTTGACTTTACTTTTTTAACTAACAACTTACTGATAGTAAGAGTTTCGTTTGATATAATAAGTCTTATAAAATTCAGCTTGAGATGCTGACAGGAATGAATGACCTTGTACGACTAACCTTCTAACTTTATTAACACATAAAAAAAACCTTTCGTTGCCCATTGACTCTATGGTCATTAAAAAAAAAATTTTTTCATAATAATACGTAGCACGTAGTCAATGCTGTGCTGAAAACACGCGTAATAACTAAAAACCACCCATTAAAAAAAACTTCATAATTTTTTAATCTGTGAAAGATTATCTATTCAAAATTTCGAATGGCGGCGATAACATCGTTCCGAGATACTGGCAGCTAAGACAATTTCGCACAGACTGTCATGCAGCCTCATACATTGCATTTCCCAGAAACTCAACTCTTTGGATCTGAACTCGGGAGCTCTTCTCGTATTTTTTTACGAGCTTAGAGGTCGCATACGGACTCAATGTCGCGAATTAATCCGTGTGTCCTATCTTCATTGGGAATCTTAATGTAAAAAGTTAAAAGACCCGTTTTTAACAAGAAAGCATTGTTGTAATGTTGAAGTTTTCTCAGATTTTTAACTAGCTTATCTGTTTATGTTTCAGATTGTTGCTAGATAAGATTCTAGAAAGATTTTTTCTTGATGGTGCTAGGTAATTTTTTGTGTGTACTCGAAAATACTAGGTCTAGGTGTAGTAATGCAATTTACATACTACGAGTTTTTATTCCTATATTTTTAGATTAATCATGCATAGTACTTAGAATAATGTTATTATTTTTCCTGATAATTCGTAAATCCATTGTTAGGTGGTGATTATGACACGAAGAAACTATCGTTTTTTAACATAAACTGTATACTTAGGTACTTTGGATTGTCATGTCTGTCTCTGTTTAAAATAATTCCAAAAAAACCAACTATTCTATTATTAGATAATCTTACCACACGATATTTTCCGAAGCTGTAAAATTATTTCCTCATAAAAATTCTAAAACAAATATATATCTACTACATTCTCAAAATTCGTTCAGCAGTTCTCGAGTTATAAACGCATAAAACGCGTTCGTATTTTATATGGTAATGCAAGATGGACTAGATATGACTATCAACCGTATTATGAAGCTATTTAGAAGCAGGAGGGCCGGCAGATGCAGTGCTATTATGTCACTTTATGTGCTTTTTATTGCTGCGTAAATTTATTCTTGTTTGGAGGCCAAGTGATATGCAGTGGCCAGTGGCTGCGGTGTCCAGATTTTTTTATACTTTTCTGTGTGGGGAATTTCCTCTAAGGTCAATTTCTTAAAATTGCTATTGTAATGTGCCAGCCGTCTTTCTAGGAACGTAGGCAGACGTTTAGTGTTAGTGTTTCAGCTTAAGTACTATGTTGAAACTACTTTTGTTTTCGCAAATAGGTATAATACTTAAGTGGCAAGGAAATCACGAATTTTGAACTTAAGAAAATAAATACAATTTTGTTGGAGTAGTTTACATATTCGTAATTAGGTTAACAACACTATTTAACCAATTTTCTATTACGGACGTATATTCAAAGATCGATTTTAATATCAAAGTAGCGAGCGATTAAGCAACCACTTAAATAGGGATATTAAGGGACACAGACAGTGTTTTTAATTAGACTGGTAGATGTTTAAGTAATGACTAGAATCAAGAGTATCCATAAAAGTCCTGGTACTTGCTGTGGAAGAGTTATCAGATGCTTAAGAATGATCAGACATCCATTAGACGAGAGAGGTTGGACTTTTAGCAGTAAATACAGATGTGGGTTAACAACTGTTCATGTAGGACCTATAAGACTCCTATTCAATAGGGTCACATGAGAACATGGCGTGCTAAACAGTCATTGGTCAGTTCCTTATATGTCCATTTATTATTTTTCAGCGAGCAACTAAATCCAATTTCCTACATTCACACCGATACAATTCGAATAGTATCAGCAGGCTCCATCTTCAGCCCCGGACTATTTACGCGTTTCTCACACCATTGACGCGATGAATCGCTCCCATTAGCGGCCGAGAACATGCTACAAGAAAACTATAAGGTTAACTATGCCCAAAAGTAGTAGTAGATATGCCATACAATTTGTATGGAACGACCTGCGGGCCGCAGTTACTAGCTCCCAGATCGAGATAACGCGACCGCTGCCGCAGCTCGACTGCTGCGATTTTATCTCATCCACCAGTATATACTGTGCGTTGGACTCTACAGCGCATGCGCCTGCGATTGATGGCCCAATAAGAACAATGCGAATTAGGGAATTATACGATAGTGCGCATGACTGTTTAGAGGTCTTATTTCACGATGACAGATCAGATAATATTCTGGTTTCAAATTGATATTCGTGCTAGGTGGGAATGATCTGCGAAATGCTCTGTCACCCTTTTATGGAACTAGATTTTACGACGTCCGGGCTTTTGCAGTGTACGCACTTGAAGCAATTCTGATATCGTACAGAATCTGTACTTTATTTAAACGAGCAAAGAGAGCTTTTAGCGCCTAATTTTAATCGATTTTGGAAGGCATAACTTATTCACATTTTATTAAACAGGAAATGAAAATACCGTTAATTGGATCGAACTTTAAAGCCTTAAAAAGTTAGCAGTGTGTTACGTCACGTGATATTTTGACATAGCCCACTTGTCACGATTAAGATATTTCACAAGAGAGCCGTCAAATTATCGATATAATCGATCCGTACTCCGGTCGTGATCTCATTTCCCTGCATTCGACGGTTGCTGCGACCTGTACTCGGAGTTTAATTTTAGCTATAAATCATGGTCGGCCTTTCCCCGAAGTTGCGCGGAGGCGGCCGATCGCCCCCGACCGGTTCAACTCCCGCGCAGCCTCATTTAAACTGTAGCACATTCCTTCGCTTGTCGCGTATCTGTAGTCGGGCCGCGATAAATTGTTATAATTAATTGTTTATAGGTTATGAGAGTGTAGTAAGGTTGGAGCCGCTGACCGGCCGCGACGGGGAGGAAATGAAAGGTGAATGGCTAGACTGTACGCAAAATGTAAGTGCAGTAATTATATTTAATTAAAGTGGAAAACTTCGAATGCGGAAAGTGGATGCTTGCTCAGTTGCACAAAAGAAGGAAGCTGTCTACTATTAGTGTTTAATTAAAGTATTAGAACTGTAATTAAGTTATTAAATATCTCATGAAACTCAAAATATTGTATATTTACGACTATATCTATGCATGAATGTTGATTTAGTACTGTAACTTTAACCTGTGTCGAAACTATAAGTAATATCTAAATGTAATTACTTTACTTACCCTTATCTCATATCATACTTTACTATTTACATAGGCCTCAAGTAAAAACGAAAATGAAGACACACACGCTCAGACATAATTATTTTTACATGTGTTAGTCGTCTCATGGTAAGGTCTCGACTACACATATGAGTCGCGTAAGTGCAGATCCTCTTTTATCTCGGCCGGCCGCGCCGCCGCGCTCTCTGTCATATTTTATATGTTTTTATCAATAAATATCGTTGCAAGTAATTACATTTTTGTGCAATAACAATAATTATGCATGTACCGTTAACATTTGGACTATAGCCTTTTAAGATTTGAGAGCAGATCATGTCTCTTTGCGAAGTAATGGATGGAGAGATGCAGATAACTTTTATGATTTTTAAAGATATCCTTTATAGTGTTTATTATTTTTGCTTCGTGTTAGAAAGTCGGTGACTTTGGATT